TTTTGGTTGAATTAACCCAAAAATTAACGAAATATTTTAAAAAAATATTTCGTTAATTTTTGGGCAGAAAAACAGTATAATAAAAATTTATGTGACGGTTTTTCGTTGTGTTGGAACAAACCTATTTTTAATTCAAAGTTATAAAATGTAAAAAATAAATGCTTTGAATATTGTAAATATCATACCTTTTTAAATTTCAAAATTTAACAATTTAATATATTGAAAATAAAGATTTTATTGTGAAAAAAAAAACAAAAAAAGCATAGGATTTTTTTTTTAATCGTAGATGCAAAGTTAAATAAATAGCTCCGTTCGTACTCCTTTCCCACTTTCCCCTAACTACATCTTTTATGAGATAGTTTAGGCCGACTTCCAGATGTGTTTTAAAGTGTAAACCCTAACCAAATCGTCCATTTGAACTGTTCTTCTATAAGCGTCTATATTCTTTGATTTCACTGAGGTGAACTACTGCATTTATTGTATTTTGTAGTTCTTGTGCGTTGCTTGCTTTTAATACGGTATCATCAGCATATCTGATGTTGTCTATGCTGATTCCGTTAATCTTAATTCCGCCTTGGACCTCGTCTTAAGGATTCCCCAAATCGACGCGAAACTTTCGCAGCGGAATCGCGGCGAATCGTAAAGGCACGGCGACTTAATGCATGTGATCAGACAAGTTCGGACGGAAACCGGAACGGTCGCGGCAGAACAGCGTTGACGTTTCATGAAACGCTGCATGCATGGTTTTTTCCGCTGCAGTTATAGCAAGTTATAGTTTCGCGTGAATTATTAAAATGGCTGTTACAGAAAAACTAATTGAAATTGTGAAACAATATCCTATAATTTATGATTTAAGTGACGAAGATTATAAAAATATAAGAAAAAAGGATTTTGGCCTAACCGAATCTCCAATGAAAATTTATGGAACCAAAGCAACCAAGAAAATGTCATAAAGCAAATAAGGCGAAGAAAATGGAGATGGCTGGGCCACACACTCCGTAGACCGCCAAATGACATTGCCAGGACAGCACTGGATTGGAATCCCCAAGGCCGACGGAAAGTAGGCAGACCTAAGGGAACTTGGAGAAGGACAGTACTGGACGAAGGGAGAACAATGGGAAAATCCTGGCTTGAAATCAAAGCACTAGCCAGAAATAGAGTTCGCTGGAGACACTTTGTGGAAGCCCTATGTTCCTCTTAGGAATCTTGGGACTATATATATAAGAAAAAAGGATAAAGTCTGGGATAATATAGGGTCATTTCTAGGAGAAAATGGTAAGTTTTCATTATATATTATATATAATGAATTTAATAGTGCTCCGCCTGCGAATGTTCCGCAACGGTTTCGCGTCGCAAAAGTTTCGCGTCGGTGTGGGGAATCCTTAATGCTTCTCTGAATATAGATTCCGAATACAAATTAAACAGCAGCGGTGATAAGACGCAACCCTGTCTCACTCCTCGTCGAATTTGTATATCTTCGGATGTTGTGTGCTCTATTTCAATTGTTGCCATTTGGTGCCAATATAGTTCTGAGATAATTCGCAAGTCTTGTTCGTCAACTCCAGTTGTTCTCAGAATTTCGATCATCTTTTGATGGTTAACGCAGTCAAATGCTTTAAGGTAGTCAATAAAACATGAACATCTACATTCATGTCTCGAATCATTGCGGTAACACATTTAAAGCAAAAAGAGCCTCTCGTGTTCCCAATCCGTTTCGAAATCCGAATTGAGTGTCACTAATCTGAAACTCGCATTTCTTGTAATATCGTGTATGGATAATTCTGAGAAAAGTTTTAAGGACATGAGACATCAAGCATAATATTCGATAATCATCGCATTGTGAGAAATTCGATTTTTTTGGTAATGCAAAATGTTGGTTTTAGCCAGTCTGTTGGTATTTTACCTGTGTCATATAATTAAAAATAGTAAAAATAGTAAATTTCTAATGTTTGCTGATGACCTTAAAATATTTCGAATAGTTAATGACCTAGTTGATGCCTCTTTGTTAAAGAATGACATTAAAAGCTTAGCTAGTTGGTGTGAGGTAAACATGCTATACTTAAATATACAAAAATGTTTTAAAATTACTTTTGGAAGAACAAGAGAGTTTGTAAATTATGATTATTGTATAAATAATGTACCTTTAGAGGCACGTCATAATATTAAAGATTTAGGTATAAATTTTGATTATAAACTAACTTTTAAATATCACATTAACGAAATTTCAGCTAAAGCTTTAAAAATGTTGGGATTTATTCTTAGAAACTGTAATCAGTTTCCAGTACAAACTATAAAAATGTTATACTGTAGTTTAGTTCGATCAGTTTTGGAGTATGGTTCTCTCATTTGGTTTCCTTCATATAACAGTGACATCTACAGTATCGAGAGAGTTCAAAATAAATTCTTCTGGGTATGTGCTTACAAAATTGGTTTTATCAGACATCAATACACATATGATGATATACTGTCAATACTAAATATTTCATCGCTACATGATAGAAGATGTCAAGCGGATTTATGTTTCCTTTTTAAAATTATAAATGGATATGTTCAAGATCCAGAGTTACTAAGTTTAATAAATTTTAATGTTAATACTAGAAGAACTCGTAATACTGAGATTTTCAACATTCCATTCCACACTACGAATTATGGCCAAAATGAATCCATTACAAGAATTTTACGAACTGCCAATGAGCACAGCAATAGTTTAGAGTTATTTGGAATATCTACAGCAACATTTAAGAAATTATTTGAGAGATTTTGAGCATTATTTAATAACTTAAGCTACTACTTTAATTGAATTTTGTTTGATTTTAATTTTGGTTTGTTTTTTATTAACGCAACATATATATAAGCTTTGTAAAGGTTGACGTCATATTTCTGTAAAAATGGTATATCCGTTAATAAATAAATATCCGTTAATAATAAATAAATAAATATATCTTATTGAATAGTGTTTTTACTAAGTCTAGGCTTTTACTTTCATTATCTGCAATTAGTTTTAGTATTTCGACATTGATATTGTCTGGACCGGTGGCTTTTACATCTTTCTGAGATTTTACTTCGCGAATCACTTCTTCTTTGATTATTTCTGGGTCTTTTTCATTTATTCGATTATCTGTGGATGGTGGAGAACAAGGTCTATCGTCGTCAAAAAAGTTTGTATGTATTCTTTCCATCTATCCTTTTTTAATATTGTTGCTTGTCTCTTTTTGTGTCTACCTGTCATTTCTTTTACTTTTTTATGAATATTAAAGGTGTATTTTTCCTGAAGTTGTTCGATTTCTAGGCATTTTGTTGAGATAAAGTTTTCTTTCACCTCCCTGCACTTTTTTCTAATGATTTTATTGATTGGCTTGTATTCTATTGGGTTTGTTTTATGTTTTCGTCTTACGTCCACGAGGTCCATGATCTATTGCATCATCCATTCTTGTTTTTTGTTGTGTTTTATGAACCCGATATCTTTTTCTTGTATCTTTGTTATTTTTGTTTTTAGAGCAGTCCATGATACTTCAATGTCTGTCTGTACTAAGTTTTCGATCGTTTTTATTTCTTCCTCAAGCTTGATACTTATTTCTTTTTTCTGTTCAGGGTTCTTCAGTTGTGGGATGTCTATTTTTTTCTCACTGTTTTCTTTTTGACTTTGAGAAATCTTTTTAATCTAAAATCCATTATAACTGGATTGTGATGACGCTATGTATATCAGCTCCAGGGTATGTTTTCGTAGATTGTATGTACTTCTTAAAGGTGTTTTGAGCAAAATGAAGTCAATTTGATTTCTAACAATTCTGTCTCTTCTGTCTTCAGGTGATTTCCATGTGTATAGCCTCCTAGGATGTTGTTTGAGGAAAGTATTGGCTATTAACAGATTGTTTTCTATGCAGAATAGTACAAGTCTATCTCCTCTATTATTCCTGGTATCTAGGCCGTATGCTCCTATGTGGTCTCCTTCAGCACCACGATCAATTTTAGCGTTAAAGTGACCCATGATCATCGTTATCTCACCTCTATTTGTCAGTCGCTTTATTTCATCTATGTTGTTATAAAATTTTTCGATTTTTTCGTCTGACTTGTCACTTGTTGGAGCATAGACCTGAATAATATTTAGTTTTCTGTGGGTTGTTTGTAATTTTAACATTGCTACTCTATCATTTAGATTAGAGGGATGAAGTCTGTGACTGATTGAGCAATTTTGTTCGACACTAATATAGCAGTTCGTATTGATGTTCTGGGACCTGAATAATATATGTATCCATGTTTTGTTTTTTGTACTCCTGAACCAGGCCATCTTACTTCACTCATCCCCAAGATGTCTATTTTCAGTCTTATCATCTCGGCTTCAGTGTTTGCCAGTTTCCCGGACATAAATAAGCTGCGTACGTTCCAGGTGGCAATGCGTACTATTCGGTCGTATATTTGTATTCTCTGTCCACTTTCTTGGGTAGGTGACGGGGGGATTCTTCGCACTCTCTCCCCATTTAAGGGGTGCCCCGGACTGAGCGTTCTTTTTCTCGTCTGCCATTTAGATTTGTGGAAAATATAATGGGGTTGTTTTCCTGTTGCCTTCCCCATCGCAGTACCACATCCATTTAAACTGCTCCAGTCATGCTTGTGGTAATCCAGTTTCAAGCCGGTCCAGGATCATTTCCTCTACGCCTTGAACTGGTACTGATGATCGCTGCTGCCCTTCACCAGGGAGGGATAGGAAGTAGGAAACTAGATTTTGGAAGGATAAAGAATGAGACATGATTTTTCTCAGTAAGGAGTTGAGAGCAAATCATGGCTCGCGTGGGCAGGGACGCTTTCCTGAAGTAGATCTATTTTCCACCAGGATCGTAGAAAAGTGTCTACCCGCTACTCTGCTTAAGATACTACACATTCATTATTTTTAAATGAAAATTTGAAATTTTCTTTTTTACTTTCATAAAGTATTCCATTCCAATGTAAATTACATGTGTTTTTTCTAGTAAGATATAAAATTGAATAAATACTTGTTTTAGGTCCAAATGTCTGTTGGTAAAGCCATTCAAATGCAGAGTATGTGACTCCAGATTCATAACTAAACGCAATCTTTTTCAACACCAGAGGAAATATCACATTCCTAGAGTGGTGGAAGAAGCATCGAAAAAGAAAAACTTGACCAATGCTAAAGATTGTCAATTGAAACGAAGAGCTGTGCCTAGTGATATTGTAGTAACGTATAGACAAAGGAAGAAAGCATTAAAATGTAAGCTTTGTGATTATTATTGCTTTAGTTCCAAATTTATGGGGCACCATAGAAGGACGTATCATGACAGTGACAATTTGTGTTTAGAAGAACTCAATTATAAACCAGAAGTGGAACGGTATATGTGTAAAGACTACAGTCAGGAAGATACAAAGTCAGATGTTACCTGATAAAATTAGTTGTGCTGTTTATAAAAAATTTATTTAAGTTATGTTTTATTAATTATAGAAGTCAAATATAATACTTTGTTTTTTATTAAGTTAATCCCACTGATCTTATGAAAGATAATAAATTGATACAAAGGAGTGAAAAGACAGCAAATATTTGATTTCACGCAAAAAGCGCCTTTGTATCTGTTGATACGTATTGCAATTTTTAGAAAGCACAGATTAAAGCAGAAATCTGAATTGTGTTTCGAAACTATTTTACGGTTTTATTGTCAGATGTCGCTATTGTGTCCGTATTGAAGCCATTTTAGTGTTGCTTCTTAAAAGACAGAAAATATTGATCTTTTACGTTGAGAGCACCTTTGAATAACTGTTCTGATGAGACCTATTAGGTCGAAATACGTATCAACAGATATTAAGGCGCTTTTTGCGTGAAATAAAATATTTGCTGTCTTTCCACTTTTTTCCGATTTACTCTGTACGAGTACTAGAAACCAATTCGCTAAGGATTTCTGCTTAGTTGATAAGACGTGTCGTGGAATGCAAATTTTAGATTCCCCACGTCTCTTTTAACACCTTTATCAACGCCTGTTTTGCTTTGCAATTTTTAGAAAGCACAGATTAAAGCAGAAATCTGAAATGTGTTTCGAAACTATTTTACGGTTTTATTGTCAGATGTCGCTATTGTGTCCGTATTGAAGCCATTTTAGTGTTGCTTCTTAAAAGACAGAAAATATTGATCTTTTACGTTGAGAGCACCTCTGAATAACTGTTCTGATGAGACTTATTAGGTCGAAATACGTATCAACAGATATTAAGGCGCTTTTTGCGTGAAATCAAATATTTGCGTCTTTCCACTTTTTTCGGATTTACTCTGTACGAGTACTAGAAACCAATTCGCTAAGGATTTCTGCTTAGTTGATAAGACGTGTCGTGGAATGCAAATTTTAGATTCCCCACGTCTCTTTTAACACCTTTATCAACGTCTGTTTTGCTTTGCAATTTTTAGAAAGCACAGATTAAAGCAGAAATCTGAATTGTGTTTCGAAACTATTTTACGGTTTGATACAAAGGAGTATCAAAATAATCCACATAATTCTTGAACATTGCCGAAGTTTTCCACATATTCTGTTTTTTTGCGTTATTTAGTGGTCTATTGACTCCAAATTCAACAGGGTTCTGGGACCAGAATCGCCAAGTTTCAGGATTAGGAATTTTACTCCAAGAAAAAGAAATCTCTATCTACATAAAGTCCCAAACATCAATTTTTGGGTATAAGCCTCCTTTTTGTTGTTAAATAGTTCTCCATTTTAAGAAGTTTGTAGACATTTTGCGCCAACGTTTTTTTTTTCAGATCATCTGGCCATCTTATTTACAGTCTTCCTCTTTTCTGTTTGTGGTTCCATAGTGTCCAGTACCTCCAGATCTTATTCCATTATTGTTTTTTGTTCTAGTGTATGTCTAGCTATTATATAATTAAGTGCCTAACAGTGTTGCTACTTGCTACTTTTCTTTAGTTACGAATCCAATCATTTCTTTTGCGCTTTTTCTGTTTGCGCTACTTTTTCCATGATTTTCTTTGTATTTGAGCTCTATCTTTGAGGACAAAGAATATGCATTTATTGAATACTTGCCTTTAGGTATTGGGGATATTTTTGCTCTTTAGTATATCGAACAGTTTGAGAATTATACCCATGCCAGTTTTATTTTTCTTTTTCATTCTTCGTTTATATCAGGGGCCTGTCTCTATTCTCTGATTAAGTGCTATGTTTCCAATCCGAGATTTAGAGCACTTCATATTGTTATTTTGTGTATTGTATAAAACATATACTCATCATCATATTCATTCTGGCTTTACAACCCTACGTTGGCCCTAGCCTCCTCAAGAATTTCTCTCTCCGTTCTGTGTTAGCCACCCAATTGTAAACCATATCTTCCTTGATTCCTAAAGTTCCTAAAAACGTTTTTTGCGTACTCTTTTCTGTCATTCTCTTTTGTTGTTAGGTAGTAAAAATATGTTCCTTTCCTAGGGGAAGGACCTTCAGTGGACTGTCTTATTTTTGCCACATATTCTACATTCCCAGTAACATAGACCTTTTTCTCCTCCCATGAGTCCAAATTCACCCAGAATTTTTTAAAAATCGAATATCTGTCTTCTTCTGAAAACGTTTGGCAGAAGCGTTTCTTTGACTTTAAACATGCGGTAGATTTGCATGCGTTGGTTATTTTTCTTTCAGGTCTGGGTACCCCTTGTGTAACAACGCCATTTCTATTCCTTTGATAACCTTTATACGCTTTACCAGTTAATCTTAATTTCTTAATTTTAATTCTCGGCCATTCAGACGCAAGTGCTTTTCTCTTCTCCTCCCAGAACTTTCTTCTTCAGCGGAATAATTGTCAACAAACTCTATTAGAACATCTTTAGCCGGCTGGAGATCAGTAATAGGAACAGATTTTTCTAGGTTCTCGAGCACCCCGTCGCATAATACTAGGAACTGATCGTCAATTTGAATAGAAATGGAAGCCAAATCGTCCGGAATATCGTTTTCTATATCATTGAGGGTCTGGTCTATTTGATCTTGATTATGTTTAGCATTCTTGTCGTTAATAGAAGTGACATAGGAAGCTAGGTCCTCTGAATTATTATTTGATATTTCATCAGCCTTCTAATATACTTGATTCTGAATTTGTAAAAACTTGTTTCATATTCGGTTCTTCAGTACTACTTAAAGACTGATTGTCTGCAGCTACATTTGATTTTTCAGTGCAATAAGCAATCATTTTCATAGTTCGACTTAACTTATTTGTCTGTAAAAAAGGCAAATTTGTCATAAAACTGAAAGTCATTTTTGTTTTATTTAATTGTAGAAATTTAGGTCAGCTATTTTTTGTAGCAAATACACATGAAAATGAAAAATAAAATAAAAAAGGTAATTACGGAATAATCTAGTTCAATCTTGATATGAGAAACTAAAACCAGGAATTATCAGCTTAAAGGGTATAAAATATTTTTAGAACCAGAACTATTCATTTAATTTTTCATAAAGCTATAATAATAATTTATGATGTAATTCATAAATACTGAACATACAATATCCCGTATTTCGAGTTTATTTTAATAGATACATTCATTTTCTCTCCATATTTACAATACCCCGTATCGTTAGCTTTGGTAAGTATTCAGTGTTTTTCTACTAATTTAATCAAATACAAGCATTTTGAAAGTTTAAATGATAAGTTGACACATTACTTATTAATAAAAAATCAGTTAGGTAATTACCGATTTTTCTCGTATTTCCTGTAATAACGATGACATCCTTATGCACCTTCACATTCGACCATTAAAGCAATGTACGAAATGAACGATACAGGGTATTAGCAGTTAATGTGTAGTGTCTACGATATCGGTTATTACAAGAATAATAATTTGGCGCGTTTACGAGTTTACGATACTGAGAATTTGCAGAGAGATGGAAGAGACTGCTAGGGACATCTTTGGACAAAAAAATGAAATTTCAAAATTTTGCAGATACGGGGTATTAGCATTAAGCCATCGATATGGTGCCATACGATGACATAGTAGTGTGGAAAATATTTTATACGCTGCATTTAGAAGCGTATTTCCTCTGTGGTTAGAGCTTTCAAAGATATCTCCTTTTTTGTGTATAGTGCAAAGTATTCCAATACTCCAATGATTGGACAGGGATTTCTGTGTACATATTTCTTTTATAAGCTGCTGTAATGCCATTATAGTATCATGGCCACCTTCTTTATTAGTTCAGCTGGGAGATTATCTATTTCGGATGATTTATATTTGGCTAGTTTTTTAACTGCATCTTCAACTTCAAGAATCGTTGGTGGTTCCTCTTCCCTCTCGTCTGTTCCTCTTACCACACATGTTTCGCCTTCCAGGGTTTCTTCTTCTTTCTCTATATTAAGTGCCTGGTTCAAGTATTTCACCCACCTATTCAATACATCTTTCTTTGTTGTTAATAGGCCACCATTTTGACTTCTGTATTGCCTTGTGGTTGCCTTGAATTCTTTTCTGCTGATGTTAACTTTCTTATAGAATGCTCTGATTTCTTTCTCTCTGTTGAGGTTTTCTATATATTTAAGTTTCTCATTTAGGTGGTTTAGTTTTTTTCTTTTGCCTATCCTCTTCTCTTCTCTTTGTCCGGTAATTCTCTACAGTTGTTTTAGTTCGTCGGATAGGCATCTTTCTGCAGGCTTTCATTTTTTTTCTTTTGTTGCATTCTTGCATTTATCGTCAAACCAAATTTCTACGGGTACATATTTCTGTTCCTAGTTGCTCTTTCGCTGCTGCTTCAATGTCTTCCTATATTCTGGTTCAGTAGGAGTCTATCTGTCTGGCATTCTTCATTTACATTTTGATTCCTTAGCCTGTTGGTAATGTTTTGTTTTGTCGGCTACCGTTCTGCAATTTTCGTATCTCATATTAAAATGAGATCAATCTGACTCGTTGTTGTATAAAACACATACTTTTAAACATTAAACAAAATTGGGATGGAAGAACATGTTATTCAACAATCATGTGGCATCGAACGTGTTAAATGAAGCTTTGACATATTGTACTGTAAAATTTTAAAAACAACATAACCTCCAAACCTCCAAGTTACAAAAAGTTTTAACTGAAGTTGCGATATTTAAATACAAAATATGTACAAAATGAATAAGAGTCGTTAATAAGTGTGCTTTTTTGCTCGATATATCATTTAAATCAAAATGTTTTCCTTTCACTATACAGAGCTAGAAGACCAGACACATGAAATCGATTATGCTGAATCTTGGGAGATTGCAAAGGAAATTTTTCCCATCTTAGATGACACAGTACTCCTCACAGATGTTGACTACGTTTGTTCAAAACGATACGATTTATCAAAATTGGTAAGGTTTAGGAAAAACCCAGACCTTTCTTTATTAATTCAACGATTAGTAGTAAGTAAACTAGAACAAAGATTAAGGAATGAGGTAGCCCCAGCGTTTTGGTTGTACTTCAAAGTCAACGAACATGAAAGTAGAGGCTTCAAACAATTCTACAATGCCGT